AATTGAGCAGCACATTCTGTGACTAATTCACTAACACGTTGGGAAATGAGTGTACGTTGTATAATCAATTGAATAGCATCAAATTGAGACTTAGTACAACAGATTTTAAAACTTCATTAATAATCGATGGTAAAACATGTTCTTCATAATCTAAACCCAAATTTGTAAAAATTTTTGGTAAAAGTTCAGCTCTTGGTTGATAAAGAATACGTAATGTTATATTAATTGTTTGTAAATCTAACCGATCAGTTGAGTCGCCATCGATGGCCACAAAATTTTTTAAGATACCTCAGCCATATACATTCATTGATGTTTCAATAGACATCGTATTTACCTTCTTTTTTTCGCGAGCTTACATTTTCCTCATGTTCACCTCTCTCCTGAAGTTGACAGTTTTCTTCCAGCTTTTATACCTTTTATTTCTATTATTGATGGAACAGATCGTGGTCGTGTACGAATATCAAATATAATTGGTCTATGAAGCCATGAAATCATAAAATGAGTTCCTTCTTCAATAACATCTAGTTCAACACCTTGAAAACGATCAAAAATAACATTTCGATGACCACCATCAACTAGAATATATTTATATTTATAGAAAACAAGTTTTTTTTAATCTTTTCATATTTACCATTATAAAGCATACAATTAATCACACCACCAACAATAGCTAAACCAATACCAGTTCTTCCTAAAACACTAAATTCTTCTATCGAAATAAAATATTATTAAATAAACGAGATGAAGCCATTGTCTGTTTTTTTCTTCTGAAAGAAAAGCATGCATAATCACAATCAAATTAAATTTGTTTAGTTGTTTTGTTTTTATTAGCAAATAGTTCCAGAAACAAAACGAAACCATATGAAAATTTTTCATATCTCTATCGATAAAAAAAGAAAATACATCACTATTTAATCTATCTATCTACCACAATAACAAATCAATGTAATATATACATAGAAAAAGATTAAATAACAATAAACTTTGAAAGCAAAAAAAAATACATGCATACTTTTAAATAAATCGAAATCCACTTGAAAAAATATGAGCATCGGTTTTTTTAGACAAAACAAAAAAAAACAAAACGTGTATAAAGTTTAGCACCGTTCAGATATTGTTCACTATTGGGTTTTAATGAATTTGAATTGCTTCGGGTGCTGGAACAGTCTATAAAGAAATTATTTATATCATAGAAAAAACAAAATTTTTTCAATTACTATAATTTGATTTTGTTGGAAAAAATTGTTGTGGAAATGA